CAACATAAGAAATTACCATAAATCAAAAAAGGTTTACTGTTATTTAGTTTGGTTCTAAACCTACAAAATCTTCATTGCTTTCACTGTAATTTATTCTTTATTATTTAGGGAGCATTATAAATTGTTATGTTTTTAAAGGAAAAAAAAACTACTATTGTTATAAATAACACATTCAATTGAACTAAACTATGCATGCCTATTTAAATATATTTACACATGGCTTGTGTATATCGTATATATACATATATATTATTCATACCTTCGGTGTATAGGACGCAAGCAGATATTGACATCAAATTTGGGGTAAAAAAGTGTGTCTTATATACCAAAAAATATGGTAACTGTCTATATCTCAGCTTGGAGAAGTCATAAGCTAGTCATTTAAACATGCAATGAAAACTCGTTTACTGTTCTTTTCAACTGTGAAAGTCAATGTTGCTTTAAGTCCATCAGAGGTAAGAATAAAGTGATAAAAGCTTAGCTTGGTGATACTTTCTTGAAGATGTTTATAAAAAACTTACTCCACAATTATATTTCTGATTTTTTACAGCTTGTTTTATCATTTTGTACTCTATTTGAATTATGATTTTGCAAGATGATAAGAAATATTTTTCATGCAACAAGATGATATAAGCTTAATTAAATCTTTTTGCACTCGGCCATATCAAGTTTCATTTTGCTGACAAGGCTGCTGTGTTTAGCTTACTTTAGGCTTTATTGGCCAAAGAAATTGCTTCAATAGTCAAAGAAAGTCACACAAAGAAGTAAAAAATATAAATATAAATGAATATAAAATGGATTATAAACTCATCACTTGTATTAAGTGAAACCTTCTGGTTAACAAAGAAAAAAATCAGCTTGCTGATAACATTGGTGTGGTAAAAAGTTACTTTTATTGGACTTGAGTGATTATAAACACAAGGAGCTAACACAAGTAAAGTCACTAGTAAAACAATATATATCTGAGCATGATGCTAGTGAAATAACATTCATACAAAAAAAAAAGACATTAGCAAAACAACATACACCCAAGCAACACAAGTCAGAACAACCATAAAATTTATAGTTCTACAGGAAAGTTTTATATTAATGTAGAAAAATATAGAAATCAGAAAACAAAATCTTCAACAGAGGTAAGTAATTTACGTTGTCTCTTTTAAAAAACATATTATAAAGAAATCTGTTTTGAATTTTTAAAGCTGTGAATTTATACAATTATCACATATATTTCATATATCCTAGCACAGACAAAAAATAAAACAGCAACATATGTCCTTATGAGACACTACAGAAATAATATATTTACATAAATCTATTTGACATTGGAAAACAAACACACATCTAAACAACACACTTGTAAAACAACAAATTACATCAGATACTAGTAAAGCGAATTGAACTAAATTACTAGTAAAACAGCATATACTGAAACAAGACACTGTGAGATTGCACATTCTGTTTTTATTTGGTTATGGTTTTATTTATCGTTCATTCATTATTCCTTCTATTGTTTAGTTTATCTATGAATTTTTAATTATATTTAAAATGTTAACCCACCTTTTAGATTATCATGTTTATTTGGAGTAAATATGCATGTATTATGAGACTGACATCAGTTTCCCCTAGCAGTAATGTACAGATATCATTAATGTTGCACAGGAGTATGTAAATTAAGATCACATGATTTGTAATCTCATGATCTAACAAGTAAATAAAAACCCTACATTGAAATGTAACAAGTTAGTTCATGAAATACAGCTGAAGAGTTTTATTGCTAATTAATACTTGTTGTTAGTGATCTTGTAGTTTAAATACGATGGAATACTGTTATTTGTCTGGTTCTTTTTTCTTTCCCAATTCCTTTATTTATTTATTGATTGAAATATTTATTATCCTGGATTTATATACTGTATTGTTCATTAACATTAGTTTCAAGTCCTGGCTAGGCACATATTTCTTTACTGTGTTTTGGTTAGTTATCAACTTTGTATTTCAATTGTTTGAAAGTCACACTTTAGATTTCTGTAGTTGTCAAAGTGTAATAAATTTGTTTTTTTTGTTCAACCATGGTTGTAATGGCAAATGACTTTAGACTTACAACACTAGTAAGACAACATAAGTCTAAGCAAGACTAGTAAATCATTAACATGACCCCACTTTTTGGTACATTACACTCTTGAATGAGGTAACTCATTATAGTCATCTACATTATTAAACTTAAACTTGAACTACATATAACTGATGAAGATAAAAAATACTATTTAGGCTACACAAGATTTACATTCCAAAAATGTATGCCTATGAAAGGACTTAGATATCCCAACTTTTCAACATAATTGAAGATATGAATGTCTAAACAAATTACATAAGAGACTCAATAATATTTTTTCATTTATCAAGTACTATTAACAAAATAAAAATAATGTAATATATTTCCTATTCCTACACTGTTTATCAAGACACAAGTTATCTCATCACTTCATGAATAAAAAGTTTTCATAGTATTTCAGTTTGTTCCATTTTCTTAGCTAAAAAAATCAAGTGGATGCAATTTTTCATCATAGTTCTATGGCACAGACATTTTTATAATATCTGTTACATTCAAGAGTAGAAATTACCAACTGGGCTTACCATCCATTCACTGACTATTATGTCCACCTTTTCAGGAAGTGATACCTCCTGTAAAGAAAAATGAACTAAAAAAAAAGCACAAAAGCCACTTACAACAGTATTGTATTTAATATAATTGAAAGTCAAACTAAAACTTTATTTACTTCTTTTTCTTGCTCTGTTTAATTTAACAATAGAATTAAAGTTGTGGGTCTATATTGGCTTTGTGAATACATTTTTTAAAACTATTTATGCATTAATCTGTGCATTGGTCCTTCATTTTTTTTGTTCAGGGTAAAAAAATAATATCAATATTACAATTAATCCAACTAGTTACTGCTGTGGTCCCCATATATATTTTACATAGAATTGAGTGATTTCACCCAACTCTTTTTTTGGTCAGTTTTTTTACACTGAGTGTTGTAACACTCAACAACATAAAATTACTCAATACAACATATTATGTGGATTTTGCTGGTAATGAATGGTAATTGTTTGTGATTCTATATTATTGTAATTTTTTCATGTTCAGATATTTTTATATCAACACTGTCAGTTTCACCACATAATCTTTCTTTTTATCTTTAGGTGTGGTTCTATTTGTAGTCAAGTTATTTTTAATGGTGTCCAGATATTTATATGTGGCTCTAAAGTTATTCTTTCTTAATATTTGGTCAACGAGTTCAATTTTATTTTGTGTTGTAGCCAATATAAAGGGATTTCATAATATTATTGGTTGGTCTATGTCTTCTTGGAAAAAGGCTTTTCTTGCTCTAAGATGGTAATTTTTAATGAAACATTGTGGACAAAGGAATTATTTGAAAATAGCAAATATGTTTTAATTTTGTTCAAGCATTGTTGAATAGCATATTCTATAGGCTATAAGAAAGAAATTAAGAAATAATTAATATTTTAACCTGTTTATAATGGTGGGGTACAACACAAGTAGAGCCCCTTGAAAAAATATTAAAGAACCACATACAAATATCTGAACACTATTAAAAGATAACCTAACTGCAAACAGAACCATACCTGAAAGTAAAAACACGGTATTTATATTATAAAATCCAAATCCTTTGAGAAAGATTATGCAAGTGAAACTGGAAGAACTGTTGACACTAGAATTTTTTAACATAAAAAAATAATATTAAATATGGAAACATAGACAATGTCAATTTTTTCATATAAAAGATTCTGGCCATCAAATCAAGTAGAAATTAACAATAATTCTACACAAAATGGTTAAGTACATAAGTAGAGGAATCTTCGAAAGTTGCTTAATCAAAAGCTTATCTCATTTCAACACCTCTCAAGTTCACTTCAAGCTAAACAGTTTTATGATCACCTGTGTCATTAAGGAACTTTGAAGTTTTGGGATCACAGGTGCACTGTTGACCAGTTTTCTGCTGGAATACATGAGAATGAAGAGGACAAACAAATGTGTCGAAACTAGTTTGATATTTAGTTTTGGATCAGCTTTTTACTTGACTTATAGCTTCTGACTAGCTATCAGATCAACTATTTGTTTGACTTATTTTTTCAACCCAGATTTTTGCTTAACATGATTTTTAAAAGTATGTTATTTGGCCTTCAGTTTTCAGACCAAATATTTAAATTTTTAAACCATATTTTTGTTTCATCTTTATTTTTCCACGCCAACCTTCTGTTTGATTTTTAGTTTTCAGACCAGCCTTTTGTTTGATCTTAGTGTCTCAGAATACTAAATATTGATTTAATTTCCTTCTTGAAAGGTTTTCTTAACTTGACACTACATTTTAGTATCCTTCTTATATATATATATATATATATGTATATATATAAGAAAAACTTACTACGCTTATAAGCTAAATATTTCAAGTTAAAAACTATATTGAATCTTTCAAACTTTCTGATATCTGTTCTAGGGTCTGTAACAGTGCTCCATATATTATATTGATATGTATTGCAATACACCCTGAGGTTTCTTTTGAAAGAGAAAACATACGTTGAAGAACTACTTTAACCATAAATAGGCACTCAGTAAACAAGCAGCCATTTTCTAATTAATTTTAGTACAGTACAACCACACTGGACTTCATGATGCCTAACAATCATCCGCATGTGGTAATATGGGGAAAAAAAAAGGATAACAGTATTGATTTTAAAGTTTGGCAAATTTTTACTAGTCAAACTGACATTTATCATTAAATAATATTCTTTATTATTATAAAGGTGTTAAAGTGAAATTAAACTGGGAGTAAATGATAAATATTTTCCCCTCATATTTTGTGATTTTGCATTTCATACTGTCAGATGTCGAGAAGCTTGGTTTCCACACTTAGTACTGCATAATTAGATTTTATAAATACAAAAGGTCCAGGTGGTAGAGCAGCACAGTTGTAATGCAAACAAAAGATAATAAACATGCTGAAATGTAAGAAAACTACTGGGAATTTTACAAATTCATAAGGCTTTTACATCAAAACAATATTTTGACAATACAATCAGGTATACTTTGGATACTGTACTGTAACTGCAAGTCAGTATATACATTAAATGTATACAGATAAATAATTCATAATAAGTTTTGGTAATTTCTCTAGATCTTAAATCAGATGGCAAAGAATTGATTTTTCTTGTGCATCTTACCTCTACTTTTCCCTGAACTACTACAATTTTCTCTTCCAATCCATTAGCTTTAATTACTTCTCTGGCTACTGCTGCCACACAACTACCCTCAATAGCATATACTACAGATAAATACATTAAAACATGTTTTGGATTAAATGAAAACCTCTCTTTAAATTACCAAAAAAGAACCAAGTCATTATGAAATTACTAATATACATTTACAACCAAAAATTTATTTGACTGAACTTCAACTTGATTATGTTTAGAAACCAGATAATACGGTTTGCAGAAAAAGATTTGAAACTATTGATCCTATGTGACTAAAATTCCAATTCTTTTAGTATAGTTAGATTGTGTTATGTTATGTTTAGAAACTCTTCTGAAAAGGATTTCAAACCACCAATCTCATTTGGCCATAGTGCATCATAGGTTAGTTTGTTGTTTATATACTAGAAAAAAAAATGGAAATACAGTTAAGTATTAAATACTAAAAGTATACTGAAGAAATCCTTCACTATAATGTATCATGGTCTGATGTTAATATAGTAAAAGAAGCAATAAGTGAATACAGTTGTGAAGTATTAAATGTTTCACAATACAGTTTTAGGTTGAATGGTCTCTTTGGATATGCCACAATGTTTAAATTTTCTTTTAACTCCTTGTTGCAATTTTAAGATGTATTAGTGATCAGTTATAATCTACTGCAACTATAACCTACTACTGCAAAAATAAACTTTAACAGTCACCACAATAATCAGTAAAAACTTTGAATTTCTCATCAGATAAACCAATTACAAAAATACATGTAATATACAAGATTTGAAAATATTGCACAGTATTTCACATAAACACTATTTTTTGTACTTTATCTGTTTAACTCTTTTGCACAGTGTACCCTTTTAATCACTTTTCTGTGCAAGTCACTGTGTTACATTCAAAATTTAATTAAACACCTTTACTGTCAATGTATGCGAATGAAATTAATATTATAATGTTTGTTATGATTCAAAGTTTTATGTTATCTAAGTTTTAAGCCCTTTATTTCAAAGAAAACTTTTAAAAAACTTTAAATGTATTGTCACATGATCCATGAGCTATGAAAATTCTCTACTTTGTGTAGATGCATGTCTAGACACTAAGATGTTTACTTAACCTATTGACACATACATTTCAAAGTTCTCTGGATGAATGCAGTTGAAACAAGTAATACATTTTGTAACCTCCTGACTGGTGCCATGTTCACCTTCAAGAGATTTGTTTGAACTTTATAGTCTACATATTGAGGTTACATATACATATATATAATCATTAGAAAGAATTCATTTTACAATATAATCCAATGATTATTATTTTGAAATTGACACACAGGCATCATAGGGTAAATGTAACTGCCTATAGAATTGTTGGCTGTTTGATTGACTATAGCACTTACAGTTGTTTCTTACCTAAATATGTTACAGTTAATTATGTATTATTTATGTTTTAAAATGCACAATTGAAAGGCTTAAACATTTTTTAAATATACATCATACTTTGCATCAGTTCTCAAGGCTTACGATATTCCAATTTTTCCGTAGGGT